AAGAGGAACGAAGAGAAGAAGATTCGACAAGCTGTACACGGACAAACAACTGAGCAGATCGCGCGCTACAGAGAGAGGAAAAGAAACAGGGAAGAAGAGAGAGAGAGAGAGAGAGAGAGAGAGAGAGAGAGAGAGAGAGAGAGAGAGAGATAGAGAGCGCACGAAAGAGGAACGAAGAGAAGAAGATTCGACAAACTGTACACGGACAAACAACTGAGCAGATAGCGCGCTACAGAGAGAAGAAAAGAAACAGGGAAGACGAGAGAGAGAGAGAGAGAGAGAGAGAGAGAGAGAGAGAGAGAGAGAGAGGGGTGGTCCTTACTTGGGCAGACAACTCCGCGAGTAACGAGACGCAAACACGGTCTCGATGTATCCTCTGCCCTCGCCCGGCGTATCATCCTTGACACGTGTCAGCATCTTGTCAGGCTATAGATAGGTGAACAATCGGTGCTACAACAAACGAGGAAGAAGCAGTCGGCAGATGGAGGAGGAGGAGGAAGCCCCAGGCAGGAGGATCGCCGTGCCACACGTTCACCTCCCTCTCCCTGCTCTCACCCGATTGCTACACTCTGTCCGCGCTTGTCCTTCTTCCAAGTGGAAGTCGGCAGCACTACGACTTCTTGTTGGCCATGGATGTATCACACCACCTCCCTCTCCTCCAATCTCCTCCAAAGCACTGAGGAAGAACAAGCTAGAGCGCAAGACCCCCCCGCTCTCTCTCACTTTGACTCCCCTCCTTCACACTTATACCTGTCATACAGACATCCAACTCCTCTCTCTCTCTCTCTCTCTCTCTCAAAAACTCTCTCAGTTTCTTTCTCTCTCTCTCTCTCTCTCTCTCTATCTATCTATCTATCTATCTATCTATCAGTTTTTCTGTATAACAGCAAGAAAATAACCGTGCGGATGGAGATGAGATCGCCTGAATCTGGCCGTCATTCGAGCCAGATACGACCAGGACGGTTCACGGTACTTCTAGGGCCTCGCCACACCACTCTCGAAATGAAAAAAAGACAAACAATTGCTGGGCGCATCTGGCCGTGTTCTCGCGGGAAGTTCATCTTCATTTTGCACATTTCGAGAGTGGTGTGCGACGCCCCTAAGGGCGGTTCTAGCGAGAGGAGGAGGAGGAGGCGCGGAACGGTTCAGGGTACTGAATCTGGCCGTCATTCGAGCCCGATACGTCCAGGAGTGATCATGGTCTGCCTTTACTTCTACTACACGCTTGCAGACTCGATTGCATCTGTCGCCTGCAGCGGCGTCTTCTCAGAGACAGCACTCCTCTGCCCCTCCTCTCCCTTCTACCCCTCCTCTCCCTCCTCTCCCTTCCCTTCTACCCCTCCTCTCCCTTCTATCCCTCCGTCCCTGCTGGCGCCACACTACTGCCACGTCGACCCCTCGATCTTGGCGAGGCACGCAGGATCAAGACGCCGGGGCAAGGGGTCCCACTTGCACGGTGATTAAGATATTCTGGCCGTTGATCTTTGCTATCTACGGTCAATATCGCTTTTAATTCGTGTAAATGGGACCTAGCCCCCCGAAAGATCTCGACCGCCGGTGCTTCTCACGGCGTTGGAGTCTCCGCCGATCTTCGCAGTAATAAAAAACAGTAAAAAAGCCCTCAGGGAAAAAAAAAAAAAAAAAACAGTAGAAGCCCAGCAAGTGCGGCTGCGGCAGCAGAAGCAGCAGCAGGAGCAGGAGCGGCAGCAGCTATAGAGCAGAAACAGCGGCAGCGGCAAATGTCGATTCTACCCCTGCTACGCAATCCGGCCGAAGCGGAGAGGAGCGCCGCTACCATTTTGTGTTGGCACGACAATAAAGATTCTCTCTCTCGCGGGAACGGCGAGACGACCCGCAATTGAATGCATGGACAATCGAATGAATTCAAGAAAAGAAAACGTGACCGCTACAGGAGCCACGATCCCTTGTCGGACTATCTGTTATATTGTACTATCTATATATATATATACACGTATGTATGTGTGTAGGATGACACGCATAACTCGAGAGATGAATTGCATTTCGAAAATCGAAAATCGAAAAGTTGGCGGCTTGTCCGCCTGGGGCGTTTTTTTCGACAATGGGGGGGGGGCAAAGGGGCGGGGACGCGGGGCGGGCAAAGGGGCGGGACCCCACGAAAACCGCCAGCAAGGTCTGGGAGATGACGCGTCGTCAGAAAAGGACAATAAACGGAAACGAAAAGAAAAGGGGTTGACCGGGGGCTCGCGCGCGCCTCGGCGCCCCGCCTCCAGATGGCTCACCACATTGCCAAAATGAGAATGAATCTTCCGCCAGTACATGGGTAGATGCGCGGCCATATTTTTTGTCTTTTGTGAGCGGTGGAGCGGGACCCTTCAACGGGCGGGGGACCCACAAAACCCGCCAAGCTCTTTGTCCCGCGCTGTCTGAACGCCCCGCGCTCGCGCGAGTACACTAACAGGAGGGCCAGTCTCCAAATGTGGAATGTGGAGAACGAGAATGTATACTCCCATTCAACATGACCATATACATATACACCGCCATAATTTTGTCTTTTTTCTGCAGGTTGCTGAGTGGTGTGGCGCGTGGCGGGCCTCGCCACACCACTCACGAGACGAGAAAAACGCGAGTGCATCTTCGAGAAGGAGGTGGAAAGATTCGTCCGTTACTATAAAATAATAACCGATGTACCTGGCCGCATTCTGCAAGAGGATGCGCTAACAATTAATTTGTACTGTGCGTGGTGGGGCCACACACGTACCTAGGGATCCGTCCCACTACATGTAGCAGCGTTGAGTCCGAAATCTGGACGTGTTTGTGGAGACGTGCAGAAATCACGTTCGGGAGTTGAGGAAACTCAAGGCTGCTTGGTCCCGGGGGCTCGGTCCCACCAGCGGGTTATTGGTCGTTAGAAGCCTACCACGACGCGACTGGGCGGCACCTACCGGTAGGGACCGTCGACCGACATGCGGCCTCGCACCACTACTCTCCAAATGTGCAAAATGAAGATGAATCTTCTATCAGAACATGGAAAGATGCACAGCTGAGTTGGAATGGAAACTTCGACATTCTCCAAGAAAAAAAAAAAAAGAAAAAAAAAAGAAAAAAAAAAAAAAAGAAAGATGCACAGCCGTGTTTTTCGTCCTTTGTGCTTGGTGCTCGGAGAAAGGCATGGAAATCACCACGACGTGTGACGCTTGCCCTTACCACTCTTTGGAAGATTGTCTGCACTTGTGGTGGGAATGTGTCATCGCCAGAGGATTCTGGGATTTCCTCAATAATCTTTGGTTCCAGGCTTATAGTTTACGAAATTTCTGGTCATTAGATTTGGTAATCACAGGCAGAATTGAACTGCAGTTCCATTCTGCCGGTCTAGCCGCCAGAAAGCAGCCATCGCCGTTGCTCTTCAGGTTTGCGTGTTGCCCGAAGCTCAGCCATGTCTGTTCTTCGTTGCAGCAGCGTTAGGCTAGCCCTGCTAAAGCGTCCCGTGAATAGATTTGTTGTCTTGTAGGAAACTACTGGACGGAACCATTGTTTTACGCTTAATCGCGGTATTATTGGTCTAGACAACCGTGAGTTAGTGTAGCACAGTCATAATTGACCATGGAAATTGACGAGTCAGGCGATCAGAAGGGCGTTCAGCTGGGAGAGCATGCTCAACCTCCCACGAATGACGTTGGAATGGTAGGAGCGGAGGAGACGACTGCGCCGGGCCAACCGCGACCACAAACGGTGCTCGAAGACGATGACTGCAATGGAAACAGGTCTCCACCGCAAGCACATACGAACAACTGGCCTGAAGAGGAACGTATATGGGAGATGTTGGCAAAGTGCTATGATGCTGGGATCCTTCCGTCGGGATGGGACATAGGCGAATTGAGAGAGGAAGGAACTAAGGCTAGGTTCGTCCTCAACCGATCCTTGGACGAAATCAAGGTTAAATGGTTGAAGGAACGAACGGTCACGGTCATCTTCTTAGAAGGCTCCAAGAACCTTCCAAAGAAGATAAAAGAAGACGTTATACGAGCGTCTGAGGATATTTGGATGAATGAACAAAGATTCGACTCTGCCATCACCAGAGGCAGGGTATGTATCGAATCTAGTAATGTTCTATCTTACGTGGCGAAGGATAAGCGTGTGGCGGATTGGATGAAGGAGGAGGGGTCCTTCCGACTGGCATTGAAGAGACGCTGGTACAATATAGCCTTCAAACCATGGTCGACTAAGGTCGATATCCAGGAGGCTAAAAAGGAGGTGGAGAAACCTTTTTTTGGATCCGCGTCATAGATGTTCTTGTCGATGCCTTCTGTTACTTGGAATCAGCGGCAGCATCATCAATTGGACCGGTGATTAAAGTTCATCCACCGGAGAAGAATGCGAGTACTCCTCGGCTAATAAATGTTCGCATGGACATAGCCATTGAGAGTTTTGCCAGACTGAAGGAGACACTGGAGTTCATGACCTTCCAGGGGCAAGTCATTGAACTACAAGTGGCAAACGCATCAACTTCGTGGTGTAGCAAATGTCGGAAGTATTTCCACTCGGAGGACCAATGCACGCGTACAAGCAGAAGGAGATCGCCTAGTCCTGCCCCAAGTCAGACAAGTTCGAGCAGCGGGACGAGTGAGCGAAGTAGTAGCAATCCAGAAATCAAAGCCTCCTCTACCGCAGTATCCAGAAAAGGAAGGTCGTCATCATCTCAAGGAAGGAGACGACGTCAAGGCTCAATGGAAAGCGGTGGGGAAAGGACCCTTTCGGTGAATTCAGGAGAGCGGAGGAGCAAACAGCCCACATACTTCGGGAAGATCGGTCCAGCGGAATGGAGGCAAGGACATAACGAAGGCAGCTCGAGTCACGATCAAGGGAGAGAAGGAAGGCTCCAGAATGGAGAACGAAATTTTTTAAATCCCGTTTTCTCCCCCAACCTGGGGACGAGGGAAGTGGAGAATCCAACTATGAGGACGAGAACGGAGTCAATAATTGACGGGGGGAGAGGGAAGGGTCATTCGGAGGACAAAAGTCAACATAAGAGTGGGGGAGGACGAATGGTATCAGGATTGTCGAAGAACGAAACGTCATCATCAAGAGGGGAACTCACGCCAACAAAGCAGAGAAGAAGGCTAAGCATGGACATGAAAGAGCTACGTATCCAAGACGAAGTGCATGCGAAGCCTTCTGACTCATCAATGGATGGGGACAATCGGGAAGCGAGTAAGGTGGCTATCGACTCAGCGGCTAAGGCACTGAGCTCTCTTAAGCGTAATAGGCGCCAAGCCACAGGCTCAGATAAGGAATGGGAGAAGTAGTTACTCCCACTCCTTTTCACAGCCATGCAGGAAGGCATATTTGTCTTAGCGTGGGCGGTTTCGGCGCAGGAGTCGGTGCTCCCATCTCAACCAATACCAGGCCCGCCAATGCCTCGGGACATAGTAAATATAACCAGAAGACTGTATGGAAGTGAAATAGCGGTAAGATTGATTCCTGATATCCCCATTCCCAGGTTTTTCATTGAGAAACCACCCCTGAAGGTTAAGTTGTTCACCACGCTTTTTGATGCGTGTATATCACAGTAAGCGCTGACTGTGTTGATAGAGCGGGGCCTTTGCTTATTCACGTTAGAATGTTTGGCCCAGTCTGATCATCGGGATTTAGCCCGCCTTAAAATTTTGGGAGAGGTCAAGGCTACCGAACTGGGAAAGTTGAATTCAAAAATTCCAAGAATGCGGGCTTTGTCCTCGCAATTTATTAAGTCTTACCTGATGTCCAAATGGGACACAGGGGTTGCCGCGGCAGACGGGGGCTCGGCCCCGAGTCAGAGTGCTCCCTCTCTCCCCTCACTCCGTATCCAATCCACGTCGGCAACTTCCGGGCATCATGCCACCCATTAGGATTGCCACTTGGAACGTAAGAGGGTTAGGAGATACGAGTGGGCGAAGTAAGCGCCACAGGCTGAAATCATGGTTAC